GGGATTTAGCTCAGTGACATAAGCGCCTGCCTGGCAAGTGCGAGGTCGTGAGTTCGATCCCTGGTACTAGAAAAAAAAAAGTCCATGCCCCCCACGACCACATAGGGCTTGGGGGACATATCCAGACACAAACCATAACACACACACACACTTCTCTCCTCACTTCCTCTGGGTAAAGTGTTTAACTTGGTCATGAGAATGAGATGCACTTGATATTTGTGGCTGAGGCTGGAAGTGAACGTGACCAGGGTCTTTGTCTAATTCATTAATGTCACAAAGCTGGCAGGGGTGAGGAGGTGGCACACCAGCACCTGTGCTGGCCTTGCTCCCTTGCTATGCATATGAAGAACACCTGACCTGCCCCGGCCCCTGCTATCCCAAGGTCCTGGGGTTCTAAGTAGAGCAGCTGAGGGACAAGAGAGAGGAGGTACCGTGGCTGGGGAGACGAGGTCTCCTTAAGTCATCACACTGCCCAGGTGAGGCTCAAACTACTGATTCTCCTGCCTGAGCCTCCCAGAGCACTGGGGTTACAGGCAAGCACCAACACACCTGTAACTCCAGGGCCACAGGGTCCTGGCTGGCCAACAGCACATAGGGAAGAGGGGAGTGGAGAATTGCACAGGGGTGTTCATAAACCAGGCATGAAGTCGCGTACCTCCCTTCTACCTATAGGCTGTTACCACGCAGCCCTGCCTAGATGCAATATGGGCTGTAAAATGGAGCCCCTACTTGTGTGGTGTCCCCAGGGCTGTGTCTACCCACCAGAAGGGTAGTGTTCTGGAGGACAGCTAGCTGCTTAAGCCACAGACCCCCAGACTAGGCTGTCAAATCCAGGACAGAACCCAAAAGAAGGCATAGGAAGTGAATTCCAAGAGAAGGGGCACCGAGGTGCTGTGCAGAGCAGAGGAAGTGGTCAGCCACCTGGGGAGTATTTTAGTTGCTTTCTTGTTGCTGGGATAAAACAACCAACACATGCAAGTTAAGGCAGGAAATTTTATTTTGGCAACCTCACAGTGTGTAGAGGTTTCAGTCCTTGATCAGCTGGCTCTAAGGCAGGTTGGCATAGCACAGGGGCATGATGGCAGAGTGGGCAGGAGGCGGCAGCAGCAAACAGCAGAACAGCAGCCAGCAAAGTAAGCCCCCCTTTCCCCTTTATCTCACCCAGGCTTAAAGGCTTTAAGTGGTACCACCCACACCCAGAGTGGGACTTCCCATTACCCATCCCCAAACAGTACCAATTTAGTACCACACACCTTTAATCACATTATCACACACCCTAGCTCCAGCCAGCTCTGAAAAGCTCCACCTATGAGCACATGAGGCTCTGGGGGACATCTAGATACAAGCTATTGCAGGGAGGGAGGGGGTGAATGAAAAATGCATGGTCTCTCCTTCTTCACTCCCTAGGTTTTCCCACATATACACGCACACACCCACATGTACACAGGCACTCTGCAGTTTACAAACAGTAAGGAAGCCCTGAGGAAGGAGAGGAAAAGGCATCCTGGAAGGAGATGAGCGTTCTACCCAAGGCTTCCTCTGCCTGTGGTTTTAATCCCTATAGACTGCTACAATCGTGTGCTAGAAATGAGGATTTGGAAGCCAGAGATTTATTCCCACAGGTCTGGAGGTCGGCAAGCCCAAGATCAAAGCCCCTGCAGAGCCAGTGTTTATTGAGGGCTGGCTGCCTGGCTCATGAGCAGAGTCTTTACACTACATCCCACAGCAGGATGGGGAAGGGGGAGCCCTCTGGGGCCTCTTGTGAGGAGGGCACTAATCACATCCACAAGGTCTCCACCCTGAAGAACTCCAAGACCTCACCTCCTAATACTACCACTTTGGGGCTAAGATTTTAACAGCAACTTGGAGAGATGAATATTCAGTCTAAAGCACCTGGAGAATAGATATGCCCTAGGGTAGAAAGACAGCTGTCCTAGAGGAGAGATGTGAGGAACTGCAAATCAGATGTGGACCTGTGAATGTGCTGAAAGTTTAGCTCAGCCTCATTCAGGGCTTGAGCTGCATGGGTCTTCTGTAGGATGTTGAAGGCCTCATGCATGATGGAGTGGTTATGTGGGGGATACCTGGTCTTCAGGGCTTGGAAAGATGCCAGGAGAAGAAGGAATAACCCTCCCCCTCCACACATACACAGCCAGGACTCTGCTCTTATTTCAATTCCTGGCGTTACAATTCCACATCTCCAGTTGATTAACCAAATTCCAGTGTGGGATCTATGTTATGCCACCCTCTCCATTTGACTGGTTGCTGAATCCCTTCAAGACCTTCTGCTGATGCCCATCAAGAAGAAGAAAACAGCTACCACTACCCCTCCCTGGGCAAACGAGTCCAGGCAAGGTGACAGTCAGCATACATCAGACCTCCTGAGTCCTGAGATTCAGGCAGCAGGCAGGTGGGGATGTGGGGCAGGGAAGGGCCTTTTTGCTCATGGGCATCATTTGAAAAATGCAGGCAGGCTCTGTGGGGCCTGGAGGGGAGGTGTGAGGACTCTGGCCATTTGTATCTGTTTCTTGGAGCCACAGTCTTCCTTGGCATGGTGCTGCAACTGGTGCCTCACTGAAGGCTCAGGTGGGATGCTGGCCTAAAGCACCCCACTGCGGGGGAGTGCTATGAGGAAGAGTCAAACACAGAAGAGTCAGCAGCTGATTTACAAGTATACACCAGGGAGATAAAAGCCTGATATTCCCACCCATCTGCGTAGCAGCCGCCTTGGACTCTTCCCACCCAGGGAGTGAGGTGGGAAGCGGGGAGGGAAATGGCCCGGCCCACCTCTGCCAGCTCCTGGCTCTGTGCCTGCATAGAATGGTGCTCTAGAAGCAAAGGCACTGAGGGTCTCCACTACCTGGCAGGTTTCTGGAAATGTTGCCAAAATATGCCAGAGCCTTCTTTCTCTCCACTTCCCCCAGGATGGACACACACATCCTGGATCATCAAGCCAGGCCCTGGGAAGTGCTAGGTTGGCAGGGGCAGCCAGGAGAGGGCTGTGAGGCGGGAGTGCTAGTTACCTGCCTCAGGCTGCTCTGCCCCTGCTTGCCCTGTGTGGAGGCCAGCAGAGAACTGGGATTGGGGAGATCAGCTTCGGTGCCTAGGCAGGAGTGGTTGCTTCTCAGCAATGCCCCATAATATGAACCAGGTGAGAGAAGCATTTGATTCGGCTCCTGACACAGACCCAGCGCATGGGATGCAGGAGAAGGCAGGTGGAGCCATGGCACAGCCATCACAATCATCCATTGCTGAGGCTGAGGAGATGGTTGATTCTCCATTTTGCAGCTGTGGCAGCTGTGGCAGCTGCACCACAACAGCCTAGCGGGGATCAGGCACCCGTGGGAGACACCTGCTTCAGCTAGCTAATCCTGCCTGGAAGGAGTCAAAAGCAACCTTCAATAGAGAAATTCCCCTGAGAAATAGACCTGGGATGGGCTCACAAACAGGGAGAGAAAGTAGGTAAGAAATAGCATCAAGTGGCCTTGGGACTGGTACTGAGACCAGAGCAGGAGAGAGCCCACAGGTAGGACGCAGAAAGCCAAGTGCACACCATCCCCAGATCTGATAGATACAGGGAAACAAGGGGTTGGGTGATGCCTAACTCTGTGCAAGGCTCCTGTGCTCTGCACACAAGGATGAACTCATAGCTATGCACTAACATTTCCACGTATAAACGTCTGCATTCACACAAAAGTCCCTGCATTAGTCACTCTGGGCCATTACAAAGTACAATAGACATCCACAAGCCCCTTACTAACTAAGCTAGTCAACAATAAAGCACCCTTTTGTCAACTAGCCACCCACCCAAAGAAAAGGCCTTGAAAGGTAGATCAAGGACAAGTGAACAGACAAAAAGCACATGACCACCAAAACAATGATGTCAGACTGAGATGTCTGGATTCAGTCCAGGGATGGCAACCTGGTGGGGCGTTTGGCCCCTGTGAAGTGGCCAGGAACCAAGGCCCACAGGTCCTTCATCTGTCTGGAGCCCCCTACCCTGACTCTTTTTTATCAGGGTAGCTATCTTCTCATCCCTCTTCCTTTTCCTCTTCACCAGTAAGTGTCTTCCTTTAAACTTTGTCCCTCTAAGATTTTACAGGGGCTGAGTTTCTGATCCTTGTGGGTTGCTTGGGCAGCAGAGCAGCCATGCTCATCCCCAAACATGACATCTCCTGTCCCCTGAGCAGAGACAACAGCAGGATGGCACTGTGCCTGGGCTGGGCCAGAGTTGAGTTTCTTCCCAGCTGCGCTCTCTGCTTCATTTTCAACACATCAGAACATGAGCCGAGAGTCACTATCACCTTACAGCAACCCTCAGATCTATAGCTCAGGATCCCAATGTCCTCCCAGGGCAACCTGCCTCTGTTTCAGTGCCACCCTGTGTCTTGGAAGTTTGGGTGGCCCAATCGAGGCCCACAGCCAAAAGGTCTCAAAGAACACTGTCTGGGCAGCTAATGGTGAGGACCCAGGTGAGAGTGGGTATAGGAGGACAGCATCAAGGTGCTTCTACCAGCCACATATGTTACCTTGAATGCCTTTCCACACTGCATGGCCTGCTCCCTCTCCCCTGTACTATTCTGTAAACCCAGCCCCTCCTCCAGAAAACCAGAACTCTGCAACTGAACATGCCTCTTGAACAAGCTTCGAGGAGGGCCGGTTGAGATGTGCTGGGGAAGGCAATGCACACCTGCACAGCCTGCAACCCCAGCTGTGATAAAGCCACTTCCCATTGGTGGGAACAGATGGAAAGAGGGCATCCTAGGTGGGTAGGAACACCTGCCAATAGCAGGCGTGCCACTGGTTCTGCAAAGGGCCAGTTCGTGCCACACTGAGTACTGGCTGGAGGAGAAATTGGCACTGTCTCTCTACCTGCTTGCCTTCTCAGGCACCTGCATTAGGGTCAGTTCTCCTGGCTGACTATTCTGCTGCTGCTAGAGCTGCTTAGCTTAGCAGGTCTCCATGGCAACCACAGCAGGAGCTGGCCTGCCTCTAAGAGCACAGGGAGCTCAGCTCAGCCTCCAGGGACTCCCGCTCAGTGAACACCGCCCAGCTGCTTCCCCGTGCGCTGTGGGCTCCAGCAAAACTTCTCAGAGACAGAAAGCACAAAAGGCACAAGGGCGCGGCCAGCAGCAGGAGACCTAGAGGGAGGCAGAGAGGATGTAGCCTACCCTCCCAGCTTCTGCTCATCTACTACTGCTCAACTTTCTGCTTTTCCTGAAAAATCCATACTCTCTTCTCCCACCCTGGGGAACAGAAATCAGAGTCCTTGAGAAAGCAAGGTAAGCAGGAGGAGTTCCCACTCCAGCCCAGCCTAGTGCAGCTGCACATTAGGAGACAGAGCTGAGGCTGGGACTCTGAGGGTGGCTGCTGGGAGCAGAGCCTGGATCTGGGGTACATAGTTAGGTGGTGGGATCCAGTGGTGACCAACATGTCTAGGTGACATTTGGGCCAGGGTGTAATTCCCAATTAAACACCTGGGATATAGACCCAGGCTGGCTGGCCCACAGTGGGGCTCCAAAGGAACAATCAGACTGCGACCTAAGCATCAGGATAGAGCTTGCAACCCTTCCACAGAGCATGTGCCTCTCCACTTGTACATCTACCTCCTCCAGAATGAGGAGGACTGAGTGCCAGCCACTCTGCTATGAAAAGTACCAGCAAACACCTCGTGTGTGCCAGCATGGTTAACAGACCTCACAGAGGTCACAGCTGGGTGGGGGAGACAGAGAATGTGTTTGTTGCAGATGTGGTGACCATAGCCCCTTGCCAAGCCCTGGCCATAGGGACTGGTGAAGTCTTGGTGTCTAGCAAGGGGCTGACTTTGGTTGGTCCTTGAAGTGGGACAGAGGACAGATGGGCCAGGCAGTGTCACCCCTGGCTTGGTAAGTCACAGATTATTTTTCTGAAATGCTAGAGAGAACAAAGGTCAGTTCGTACTGTGCAAAGTTGGCTGTGGTCCTTAGCAGGAAAAGGACCTAGAGGAGGCTGCAGAGGAGGGCAGCTTGCATCTACTAAGAGGCCTCTGCTGGCTCGGAGTCTGGGGCTCTGGACAGCCTGGTATAGGTGTCTGGGTGTCTGGGCCTTGGTGGTCACTGGGAGCTTTAGCACCCAGCTTTGGAGGTGGACATGACTAGGCTGGGGCATGGCAGCTTTTGGCTAACAAATCAACACTCTTGGGCCTAGGACTCTTCTCCTTTTTGGTGGGTCTTGTGTGGGTGTGGGGCCTGGGAACTTGCTGGAGGTGGCTGAGTGCTGCTCCCTCCTGTGGCATGTCTGGTTCCTCTATGCTCTCACCACAGAACAGCCTGGCCCTCCAATTGCTGCCTCCAGAGACTACTGGAGGCAACAACATCTTTAATGAGACCTGCAGCCAGCAGCCTGGTCTCACAGGAAGATGGAAAAGTTCCAACCCTCAGGGTATTCAGAAATAGGCTGAAGAGAAGACTCAGAGCAAACACAGGCCAGTGAACGGGGAAGGAGGGAGAGAAGCTCAGAAGAAAGGGCAGGCCGCCGGAGGCTCCAGTTCTGCTGCTCTCTGGGCAGCCGCCCAGACACTGCCTGCTTCTCTCCCCATCTATGCTGAACAGGAGGAGGACAGGGGTCAAGCCTGCCATGAGCCAGGGGCACTGTTCCTCTTGTTCTGGGACCTGTGTGGTTCTGTGCAGCCTGGGAACACAGTATCAAAACAGTCCTAGGTGAATTCAACAGGTGCCACTGGGTTACAAGGGAAACCAGCTCTCTCCAGTACAGCTATCAAGGGGGTTTTGCAGGCAATCTGTGCCTAGTGACACAGGTGCACTGTGAACATGGCAGGCAATAAAGTGAGGGGGTAGCTGGGAAGCACTGTGACTGCCCAGTAGCAACTCGCACACACAATATTCCGGAAGCGACAACTTTAAAGAGGGTATACACAGCTGTGGCAGTAGCCAGCAACAAAAGTCACTGGTGGGCTGAGGGTTTAGCTCAGTGGCACAGCACCTGTCTGGCAAGTGTGAGGTCCTGAGTTCCAGGCCCAGAACCCCACCCTCAAGTCACAAGTACTACTGGTATAGTGTGGCTGGTAGGTCACGCTCAAGCTAGAGGGAGCCTTCATTCCAGTTAAAGATTGGTGAAAATAGGGTGGTTTTTCCTATCCTAGTTCATCATCTCAACAAGTGTGTCTCCCCACACCAGCAGCTCCAGCACTCTAGGCGGTCGGGAGTTTGAGCTCAACGTGGGCAGCTGAGTAGTTTAGTGAGACCTCACCAAGAATAAAAAAATAAATAAATCTCCAGTGCCATGGAAAAAAGGAAAGAAAGGAGGGAAAGGAATAAAAAAGGGAAAGGTAAGGGGGAGGGAAAGAAAAGAAAGAAGAAAAAGAAAGGAATCAAATTCCCACTCTTGGGTGAGAATCCCTGTGCTAAGCACCAAAGATAGCCACAGTCATAGGGCTCTGTGAGTTGGTAAACATGATTTCGTAGTGAGCTGAGGTAAGCACCTGACATTCCCATCACACATGGGAAACTGAGGCTCAGAGCCACAAAGTGATGTGGACGCAGCCCGTTGTGTTGGGGAGAGGGAGTGCAATGGCCATGCCCCCCCCACACCAGCCACTTGCTGAGCTGTCACTGATAGGGTGCAGCCAGACCACCAAGCAGAGTCTGATGGCAAAGGTGGGTGGGGGATACCTAAAACCCCAGCCTAGGCAGAGGGGACACAGGGCAGGGAGGGAAGGGAAGGCAGTGGCCAGTGGGTGCAGCCCATCCTGCCTCAGCACAGCCCCTGATGGGGAGGGGGGTCCCCAAGGTTCCCATGGAGCCCACTGGTCCTCAGGGTGGGTGGAGTGTCCCTTCCTGCTGGCTCCTCATCTATCTCCTCCCTACTCTGTGACTCTGGCTCCATTCAGCAACTGCGCGCACCGGGGGTGGGGTGGGGTGGAGGTGGGGGCTGGGTACTCAGCCTGGTTCACCAGGCCCCACCAATCTGTGTCAGAATTCACTTTGTCGCCTGGTGGCAATGCCTCTTACTGCACGCACAGAGGCTTGGAAAGTTCTCACAGGCACCCCTTTGAGTCCCAGAGGAACACTGAGTAATAGGCCACACGGATATGTGAACCCCAGTTTTTAATCATGGAGGAGCTTCCTAGGCACAGCCTGGGCCATGCAGCTAAGGCCCATCCCTCCTGGGGCCCCAAAACACTCCTTCTCTTAGGAGTTCAGCACCCAGTATTTGAATCTATGTGGCCTCCAGGCCCAGTGCACCACAACCACTGCTGTGGCCTCAGTGGAGAGTTTGCCCCAGGCAAAGCAGGGGGGCTGGTGCTCAGGCCAGGAGGGGGAGGAAGTGAGGGGCTGGGTCTAACTCCTAAATCATGACTGTGTGCACACTGGACAAGTTGGGAGAGTGGGACATTGCAGACCCACAAATGTCTCTGGATAAAACCAATGTTAGTGTTTTACCATGGTAGCCCTATTTACATTTCAGGGTGATTCGCAAGGTAGACATTGTAGATGCTTCAGCAACATCTCAAATACGCCCTGATAGATCTCTGGGGGACCAGCGGCAGCTGAAAAGATAAGAAGTATGAAATATAAATGATCTTTATTTTGAGAATGCGGAAGAGACACCCCCGATCCCCTGGGGCACGGCATCTCCTCCCGGGGTCGGCGATCTCTCTGTGGAACACGTGGAGTGGAGGCATATAAGTAGCCTAGGTTTGGGGTGGAACCTGAGGGACATTAGTGATGCACAGGTAGCCCACTGGTATTCTTTTGGTGCCAGAGGTAAATTCCTAGGGTGGGGAAGATACTGTCACAGGTAAATAGGGGTGGGGAAGATGAAGCTCCTTGGTTCAGCCTGAGGCTTTACCGGCTACGGTATCCCGTCTGGGCCAAAACTCTTTCACTCCCCTACACTGTGACACCACTTTAGACATATGAGAGCAAACCAGCTCCCTAGTCACATCTCTGCAGTGATCCTCATTTAAAGCAAGAGTCCATCCATGCTCATGCACTTGCGGGAGACTGTAAGTGTCCTGGCTGAGGGGAGGCCAGCCAGCTCCTGGAGACTCCAGGTCACCAGAGCACAGCCAGAGCTGGGGACCTGCAGCTGAGTATTGTGGCCTGTCTTGGAAGGGAAAGGAGGGCCCAAGCCAGTATAGCCCCTGGGCTACCCACAGACAATACGTGCCTGGCAGAAATCTCAGCTGTGGGTCAGCTCCTGGGGCCCCTGCGGTAAGACAGCAACCCAGAATCTGACTGGCCAGCCTGCCTCCCTGTCCCTCCCTCCTCCTCCCCTGGCTGTCTCCCTCCCTTTTTTTCCCTTAAGAACTTAATCAGACCCCCCCACAAGAGCCTCTCAGGGTGGCAGCTGGCACTAGGACAGAAATAGCTTTGGCAAAATCCTTGTCTGCCAAAGCCTTACCCAGGTCATGTGAGGGATGTGGGGCAAGGAGGAGCTGTCTCCCCAGAGGCACTGTCTGGCCAAGAGGCTCAGAACCACGAAATCTAGGACTCAGGTGGCTCTGTACCAAAGCACCTGCCCAGGAGACCAGCCTGGAGCCCAGGGAGTAGGATCCCATGAGGTTGCCCTTTAGGATGTTCGACTCTCCTCCCTAGGTTTGGGGTGCAGGAGGCAGCTGTTTGTAAGGGTGCAGACTAGTCCTGTGTACCAAGGCTCAGTGTCCTCACTGACATTTTCAGGTCACCTGCAATGGAGTGGGATAGAGCTGGGTGGCACAAAGAAGAGAGTAGTCAAGGGCCAGGAGCTGGCATGGCCTGCAGGGCTCTGTGCCAGTCAGCAGCTCTGAGAAACATTTGACAGGAAGAAAATGGAATGGGTTTTAATATTTTGTGGCTTAATTTGTAACATACAAATGTTTACATATATAAATATACATATGACATTTATATAGGATTATATAATACACTTAAATATACATTTAAATAATTATGGAATGCATTATCATAATAAATTTTTTGAGAAAAAGTATACTATTTATATAAGATAATTTTATGATGTAGAAACGTCCCCATACTTCTGTAAACTATGCTGGTATCATCCATAAACATCTGCCTGTTTACAGCACATGGAGCTGCGTGCACCTAGATGCACGGGCCTCACTGGCTGCACGGCCCAGGCCCCTTGCATATGTGTGGAGCACTCAGGTCCTGCCAGGCCAGGCCTCCAGTGGCCATGATGTAGCCCTTCTGAGGCCAGAGTCCCCTGGACACAAGCTGTTTTGCCGTCCCCTGGCTTCTCCAAGTCCTGGGTGGCAGGAAGATGTTACTCAGCTCCAAGGCAAACACAGACTCACAGGAAATGAGAGCCAGGCCAGGGAGAACAGGGCTTGGCCAAAATGAAGCCTCGAGGCAGGTCTTCTGGAAGCTGAGAAACTGGGATGAGCTGGGTGTGCAGGTAAATTTATAGCCTGCTGCCAGGACATGTTTGTGTGTGCACATACACAGACACACACACAGCACTGAGAGTATGACATAGGGATCCAACTCTACCTTCATGTTGGGATTAATACAAATTAGTTGGAAAATGAGGACAGATCCATTTATTTTTAGGTGTCCACTGAGCACATGCTGAGGGCCAGCTCTTCTGCTGGCTGCTGGCCCTGGGTGCTGGGTGTCAGGTCCTGGGTGTTAGATGCCAGGTATCAGGTGCCAGGGTGATGACTGAAAGAGCTCACTCAGTTGGGAGAGGACGCCGGCACCCACTCAGCACTGAGCAGCTTGGGAGCAGGGTGGGAGGAAAGGGGAGGTCAGCTGCTCTCTGAGGGGAGCGTGTGTGAGCGGAGAGGAGGGCTCTTCCGGGACCTGGGAGACCAAGGGCTCCAGTTGCGCAGCAGCCGGAGCGGGGCGGGGGAGGCACAGCCACGCTGTCAGTCAGGCTGCTGAGACTGAGTCTTGGGAGTTCCGCCCTGTGTCTGAGCAGGAGGAGGAGGTGGGGCACCTGGAGGACCTGCTCCCAGCTTGCTCTGGGGAATGGCATTCCCTCCCCTGTCATCAGAACCCCTGTCCAGATCTGATGTCACCAATGATGGCAGCACATCCCCTGTTCCTTCATTCCTTCACCTCGTAGCCATATATCTGTCTATCCAGCCAACTGGCCATTCCCAGGTCTGTACTGAGCAGAACCCTGTGGGGGACAGTGGGGAGCAGTCGCCCTGCTCAGCCAGGCCCTGGTCCACGTCTCACCTGTGTGGTGGCCTCGAGGCTAATGCCTGCACACACCCTCCAACCCCTCCTGTCACAACACCCTCTCGGGCTCCTTCCACCCTGTAAGTCACCCTCTGCTATCCCCACACCAACACTGACTGCATTTCAGGCACAGGCACCTTTCCCACTGATGCTATGGTGATCCTGCCCTGTCCCAGGGCCTGACCCCAGGGCCTTTGCACTGTGCTACATCTCCAGCACCTCCAGCACCCTTATTTTAATTAATTAATTGATTTACAGACAGGGTCTGTCTGAGTTGCTAGCGGACCAGGCCAGCCTATGTGCTGATCATAGCCTCCCAGGGAGCTGGGATGGCAGGCATGTGCCACACTTTTTTGGTACTGAGGATCTAACTCACAACTTCAAGACCTCATACTTGCCAGGCAGGCGCTTATGCTGCTGAGCTAAATTCTCAGCCCTTGATATCAGTTTTTACTCAGCAAGTCTATATCTCCTGGGAAGCAGGGGCCCCCACAGATGTGTGTAGCAGGCCTGATTTATGGTGATGGACGGAAAGACAGCTGCTGGGTGAGGTTCACCAGGTTAAAGCCTATGTGGTTTCCAGCATCTGAACAGCATACAGGAGGCATTTGGAGAGCTGTTCTGCTGTTCAGTCAGCAGGGATAGAGATGCCTGTTCTAGGTGCACATGTGTGTTCTTCCCCTTAACTCACAGAGGTGAAACTGCTCAACTGTACACACTATGTCTCCTACTGTTCAGTTAGTGAACATTCAGGAGGCGATTTCCCTAGGCTCAATTATCAAAATGCTTTAAGGGTCACTATAACCACGAGTGAGTGCATCACTTCTAAATGATACAGTGTCCCAGTTTACCTGCATCTGCTTCTCACAGCTGTCTGGCCTGCTCCTAGGGATTCAGAAGTGACTGATCAGAAAAGCACAGTGACCAAGTGAGCAAGGCCACACAGCTTTGTTCACCAGGGGCCAGCTCTCCTTCCTGCACCTGTCTTCTGGGTCCTCCCGTACCGGAGAAGGTCCCGGGAGGACACACCTGCTCTGTTTCTGCAGGGTCTGGGGTCATGTCCCTCATCCCATGGCTCCGGTGGAATGAGGCTCCCACCCGGCTGTCATCCCGGAGCCCAGCGGAGATGGTGCTGGAGACACTCATGATGGAGCTGGTGGGGCAGATGCGTGAGACAGAGCGGCAGCAGCGGGAGCGCAACAGTGCAGTCAGGAAGGTCTGCACTGGCGTGGACTACAGCTGGCTGGCCAGCACACCACACCCCACCTATGACCTCAGCCCGAGCGAGCAGCTGCAGCTGGAGGACGTTTGCACCAAAATCCACCCTTCCTACTGTGGGCCAGCCATCCTCAGGTAAGGTTTGGGGCTGGGGATCCAGGAGGGTGGCAGCAGGGCCCGGGCCACTAGGAACAGGAATAGGGCCTGGATGACAGTTCCCTGTTAGAAGGAGCAGGGTGGAACCAGGCAGGGTGAGAGGCTCAAAGGGCCAGCCTGGCAGTTCCAGGTGGCCAGAGGGCAAAGAGAGCAAGGATGCACACCTTCAAGTCCCCTGCTTTTCCTGTCAGGTTTTCATCCTGGATTTTAACATAGCTGCACCTTCTCCTTTATTAGGTGGTCTTTGGATCCCCTTCTTAGAAACATAGTCTCTCCAATATCGTTTCTATCTTTTATTAATTTATTTTCTTTGCAGTACTGGGGATTAAACTCAAGATCTGTGCACTGAGCTACAGTCCCAACTTTTTAATATTTTAATTGGAGCCAGGGTCTTGTGAAGTTGCTAAGTTGCCCATGGTGGGCTCCAGCTTTCCATCATCGTGTCTCAGCTTCCCACAGAGCTGGTATTATAGGTATGTGCCATGATGCCTGGCTCCAATATTAATATTTTAATTATTCTATTTATACCATTTTTTTTTTTTTTGTATCAGGGATCGAACTCACGATGATGCACTTGCAAGGCAGGTGCTTATGCCGCTAAGCTAAATCCCCAGCCCTTCAAATCAGTTTTCACACAGGTCTTCCTAAAGTGTGAGTGTGTTTTTGCACCTCAGTGTGCATGAATGCCAGGTCCGTAGCCATGGGGCACTGGACATTTAAAGCTTGGGCCCAGCAGTGTTCCTGAAATAACTGGGGGACCTGGAAGTCATGGCTTTCCTGTCCCTGCCCCCCAGGATGCTGAGGTCAAAGAAGCATGTAATCAGTCCACCAATCAGATGAATATGACAAACTACCTCAAGTTCTTCATCTGCTTTTCTTTCCAATGACACGCAAACCTACATGTAAAACACCTGAAGGTTCCCTAGACTCCCTAAGCCTTCCCTCTTCCCTCCCTTGAACCAACACATATACTGCCCACACCATTTTCTTTGAAATTCCTCCATCAGACTCTTAGTCCTGCTCAAGCCCCATCGGTGATCCTTTAGTATCTGGGATCTCTTAGTACCTTGCCCTTTTTCCAGGCTGAGAATCTCAGCTCACCCCTTTTCAAATCGTGCACCATGGGAACCATCGGCCCAGGAAGCAGCTGGGCCCCGGTGAGCGAGCCCAGGCCTGTGTTGCCCAGGTCTGAGCTGGCAGGCATGCAGGAGGGTGCGGGGTACGCCGGCGGAGGCCGCCGGTGCAAGGTGTCGCCTCTGTCCCGCAGGTTCCGGCAGCTGCTAGCAGAGCGAGAGCCCGCGGTGCAGGAGGTGTCGAGGCTGTTCCGCAGCGCCCTGCAGGAGGTGCTGGAGCACATGCGACAAGAGGAAGAGCTGCAGCGGCTCACCAGGCAGTGGGGGGCCTGGCCGCGGGCTCGCGGCGGCCTGGCCCCCTTCAGGGCCCGCGCGCGCATCGCGCCCTCCGCCGGCGACATCCGCACGGTGTCCGAGCGCGTGGAGCGGGCGGCGCCGCCGCGCAGCTGGAGCGCGCCGGATGTCCGGGCGCAGGCCGCGTGGGCGGGCCCGGAGCCGCCTAGCTCGCCCGGGCAGGATTAGTGCGGAGAAACCTGGCCGCCCCTCCGCAGCTGCTGCTTCAGGGTGAGCCCGGGCCATCACAGCATCAGCCTCGGTGTCACCCCACCCCATCCTACCCCGCCTCAGCAGCCGTGCAGTCCACCCCAACACGAGGGCGGAAACTTTCCATTAACTAGGGACCCTTTAGGTGCCACCCCCGACTCCAAGACCGAAAAGGTCCCAATGCTGCCTCGCAACCTGAAGCAGAAGGGGGCCGCTCTGAGGCAAACTGGATGTGGAGTTTTCTCTTTGGCTGGACGCGCTCTGTGGAATGTTTTTCCTAAAATAAATCTCTGCCTTTCTTAATACTTCAGTGTGTCCTGCTCAGGTCTCTGTTTGGGACACAAAGCACCTGAGACAACTGTCCCGTGACACCCCTGAAGTGGAGTCATCTCCCAACTCTTTGACCACATGGCTCAGTCAAGGGCCACCTTGGACCAGCTCCCCTGCAGATCTTGCAGGGCAGTCCTGCCCTCTCCCCAGGTCCGCTTTCCCCTTCCCGACCGCATCCGGGAGGTGTAGAGCTCACTGTGGAGAGGGTCCCTTTTCCGCTGACCACTGGCTTCTCACTGCCTGCCACAGGTGGGTCACAGACTCAGGCAGCAGAGGTAGAGAGGGAACCCTCTCAGCCAAGGGTGTCCTCATTGCTTTACCCTGCAGCTGATGCCCACGGGCAGCAAGACTGCTCTTGGGTTAGGGTGGGACCGCAGCCACCTTGGGGGCTGCACCTCCCCCACCCACAGGGAGACCCATCTCCTATCTTGGCACCTGGGTTATCTCAGCTTGTCTCCAGGGAAGTAGCAGGAGGTGGAAGCAGATTGCCCAGTACTCCTCTGTACCACTGTGTCACCACAGGGGAAGTGGCCAGTCCCCAGTGGCTCCTTCCTGAGGCTGAGCCTCAAGGTCTTCAGACCTGCTACTATAGAGCACAGGCCTCTGAACTCCAGAGTGCCTTCTGTACCTCGGTCACTCCTGCGCTCTGGTTTTCCCTAGGAGGTGAGGTCCAAACCTCCATGGGCCAGCAGGTGCCTGAGGGGATTCCCTGGGGGTGCCTCCCACAAACCTCCTAGGCCTCCATTTTCTGAGGTGCTTATGTGGTGGTGACTGCCATGTGATTGCCCAGCTCCTACATTGCCCATGGCAGCGCTGGAAGACCAGGTAGACCCCCACCCTGAATTCTGGGCGTGGAGTGGGAGCAGAGATAAGGAGCATCGGTCTCACACTACTCATGCATACTCAGACTCTGTGAAACTTGAGAAGAGTCTAAATAAAATGCCAGGGGAGGTAAATCACCAAGGGGAATCTTCTGGTGGAGGCTTCTCCTCCAGTGTTATCAAACTGAAGGAGTTGATTGCTTTATTAGTAGAAGCTGTGAATCACTTAAATAAAAATATACACCTTAAACATATTGGGAAGACATTAAAAAGTCTCAATGGCCATACTGCAGGTACAGGTCCAAGCTGTGGTCACTTCTCTGTGACACGTGTCCCAGGTCCCTGCAGTGCTCGGTACCCCTACATAGCTCCTTAGTGGGGAGGCACAGGCTGTGCCACACAGCCCGAGTGTGGGCATATAAAACCCTACACCGTCAGGGTGTGTGTAAGTGTGTCCTGTGGTGTTCACACAGTAATGCATTTTTCGGCATGTGTCCCCATCATTAAGTGACTCATGACCATACCGTTCTTTCCCCATGCATGAACCTAGACTAACTCTGGTCAGGAGGGAGTCATAAGTACTTATTCTAATTATTCAGGGATTTAGAAGGTGACAGAGAAACCACTGGTCACAGAACATCCTCTAAGGGAAGCCCCAGACAGCCACACTCAGTCAGTACTATCAGTCATCAGGTGCAGAGATGGGATTCACTTTATTTATTATTTTTTTCTTTTGGTAACAGGTTTTTGCCATGCAATTCAGGCTGCTTTCAATTCTTTTTTTAGCCCAGACTGGTCTTGAACTTTCAGTGATCTTTCTGCCTGGGCCTACTGAGTGTTGAAATTACAACCACACACACCATACCCAGGTGGGATTTAGCCTTTTCCCCCCCTCTTGAAATAAAAAGTTCTTTATTGTGATATTTTTATGATATTTTTATTTTATTGGGAGTCTTTTTTCTCACAAATATTTTCTTAGTGTTCTAGTTTTCTTTTCTTTCTCTTTCTTTCTTTCTTTCTTTTTTTTTTTAACCAAAGACATGGAAAGAGGTAAAGATAGCAGCTTTTTCCATGTGATTTCTAGACTAATGCACTAGCTGCAAGGGTGAAGCTTCCCTTTTGTTTGACTAAAATGATCCTTTTGATATGTTCCAAACCTCCTTTTATTGTCCTTCATATTTTTTTAAATCATTTTTTTATTTAGACTTAACATTGATCTTTCCATCTTTAGCAATGATTAATGTATTCTATAGTTTCCTTAAGCTTAAGCTGAACTGCACTGACACTGTAATCTTCTTTTATTGCTTAACTGGATCACTTATGACATAGAGCCACACTCATGATCTGATGCTTTAGTTAGGATGTAGGGTGTGTTTTTTCTCCCGTTAAATTTGGCTTCTGAAAGTTTAACGATATTTAGCTACGTTCCCTCTAGACATCACGTATTCTAAGAATAATCATTGTTTTCTACTGGGGACCTAGCTAAGATCCCCAACTACCTGTATGAGAGGCATAGCTAAAGGATGAAATAAGAGACAGACAAACTTAATAATACATAATGGAGGGATTCACTTTCTTAAGTGCAACCTTTTTTCTCCAATCTGAAGGTGAGGGCTTGGTGTGTGCAGGTTTCTGGGGTGGGCTACAAACCTCTGAGATGGACATAAGAGCAGGGAGCAGATGACAGCATGTTGGGCAAACTCAACTCTGGGAATCTGTACTTTTGAAAGGGAAAGTTCCCAAAAGTCCCAAAAGAATCAGTGCTGAAATAAAATTTGGTTTATGAAGAATCAATGTATGCGCCAACTTTGGGGGAATGTATTACCAAAGATATGGCATCATTAGACAGACTGATAGAATTCTAAGACCTGCAGAAACCTCAGAGCTCAGGTCCTGACCTTTACCTCCTGGCAAGTGTGACATGATTAACGTTCACTGACATCCACTGAATAGGGCTCTGTGCTGAGGCCCATAAGCCTGGTGTGGGGTATTACAGTTTCTAAATTGGAGGGTTGACAGCCTCTTAGGGACCAAGTCTAGGGAAATGCTGTTGTGTTAATCAGGGATTTTGCTGAAGATTAGAGAAATATAGTTCAACCAGCAGAAATTCCAAAGGGCATTTGTGATTCCCAGTTTCATGGTGTGTGACTCATATAGCCACATGGTACTCAGAGAGGCCCATGCCTGGCTGGTTTGTTTGTTTTGGGGGATGCGTGCGTGCGTGCGTGGGTGCATGTGTGTGTGTGTGTTTTCTAGAATTTATCCTCCTTTAATGCTGAACATAACGTCTAAGATTTCACCAATGCCTTTAGAGACAAATACACACAAACTAAAACCTAAAAACAATAATTATGCATACTGAATTTGATCCTGACATTTAAAAGAAGCTGTTAAACAAAAAGTATTTCTAGAAAAAGTAAAACCACACAATAAAATAAAACAAAATAACGAAAACAAGAGAAGCCTTTGATACCTTTCAATAACTAAAAAGTTTAATTCATTATTAAATTATTAAATTCATGTAATATAAAAACACCTATGTATAGGGTTGAATTACAAAAAAAAAGAAACAAATCTAAAATATGTTAGAGCCTGAGGGGCAAAATATCTTCATTTTCATCCCTTTAATTCTAATAAAATACTAGAATTTCAAAAAAACAATTACTTTCCCAACTAGATTTTCTTCTGTTCTGCATAAACCCAGCAGGATGGCACTCTAAATTGTGTTTAAAATAGCATAACTTAATTTTTAGTATCACAATTTATTTGCCCCAATAAGCATACTGTAGGAAATTAAAATTCTGCCTGGAAATACCCTTGAATTCCATCTGTGCCTGCAAATCTACTTCTTTCCTTGGTTTTTAAGACTGTTACCCAAATCTTTTTTTTTTTTTTTTTAAAGACAGCTAGTTAAAGGAAGCAAGAAAGTCGTTATTTTGTGCTTGAACTTCAGCTGGTAGAAAACTACCAAGGACACAATGTTCTCTGAACACAGCATGGTCCCAGAGGGCAAGGGACTGCCAGGGGCCTGGCTATGATGGTAAATGCCATACACCATAGTTCTCGTCTACCACAGCAAGTACAACACTGATGAAGTCTGCATATGTTTTTACTGATCCCAAAACAAACAATGAATTGTGATAAGCAGATGATGTGTGATAGATCTAGCAGTTTAACACTACTATTCATCTAATACATTTAATAAAATCATACTAGGTTTATTATGGTTACTTCAAGAGTTATTAAGAAAAATCTGGATCACTTCCTCTATCTAGCAAGGATGGAACTGATCCTATGACCTCAGAACTTGCAAAATTTCAACCTTACCAAATTGGTCCTTGGCAGTCATTGCCAAGAGTAGAATGAATGCAAAGTGGGTAATTATGACATGATAATTTTGAAAACTGCTGCATCTTAAAGAGAAATTCCAAGTCTTTTCAGAAGACTCACATACTCATACATAATATGCATTAGGAAAAAAAAAGCATTCCTGGAAAGTCCTGGAATTTCTTAAATGAGATTTGACCTAGATCTTGTTTAACCAGGAGCATCTATGATTTGGCAAAACCTCTCTTGGGAGAGAGCTTTGTACATCATGCGACTCTTAGTAGTTGAGAAGAACTCTGTTAGTCCTGGACTGTAAGTCTCAGAGGTTTCAGTTTTAGCACTGAAAAAAATAACAGAATAGCACACATATAGCAAGGCATGAAGTGGGAGACAGGGGCTTTCATTCATTTGTCTTTCAATTTCTCATAAATTTCTTTCTCACAATCATAATGAAAGGTCTAACATCAGGATGGTTGGAATAGTTGGGTGTCTTAGTCAACCCTCTGAGAGTTTGTCCTAGTCAAGGCTGTTTCCATGTTTGGAAATTGCAAACTCTTAGGAAATGTAAGAACAGGGCAGGGGATTTAGCTCAGTGGCATAAGCGCCTGCCTAGCAAGTGCAAGGTCATCAGTTCAATCCCTGGTACCAAAAACAAAACAAAACAAAACCGTAAGAACACAGAAAAGTACTCTTTGGTCTACTGAAGTAGACATATTCAGTGTTTATCAGCACCCACCGCAGTGGTGGGGAGAGATATTTTGCTTGCTAAGTACAATTCAGAGACATTTTCTGGACAGCCCTCTCCTCATCGTACACACTGCTGTGCA